TGTAAATCCATGACTTTACATTTTTTTAACATTGAACCTAAATGGAATTGAGGGCAACAAATCTCCCTTTAATTATTTTTTATATTATTTGATGTTCATCATTCTGAGCCCACCCCAAAACTGACTCATTTGTAACTTAGATAATATAAAAACCACAGGCATGTAAACGATCAATTTAACAAAACTACATATGAACTGGTTGCATGCTTTTCAGTTAAATTGCCTTCTATTGTTCTCAAATGTTAAAACTAAAATGTTTCTTCCCATCTGTTCTTAAATACCATCTTCAATATTTTGGATGTCTGATAACAATTTTTATCACTAATCAAGTTTTGTGAATTACCTAAATTACTGTTTCTCAAACTTGACAACTTTGAAATGGGTGGACTTCACATCTGGGGAATTCTGGGAGCTGAAGTCCCCACATCTTAAAGTTGCCAAGTCTGAGGAACAGTAATCTAGATAAATAGTTAGGAATGTTAGACTGCTGACACCTTCTCTAATATGTATAAATTAAGAAAAAGAACCTGCAAATCTCGATGTATTATATTTAAATAAATACACATATTGAAAATGAACATTCACAAGGCCTCAATAGAAAAGTCTGTATAAGTAATGAAATAATAAATTTGTAGCTCAGCAGAATATATGGCAACAATTTCCAGAAGGATATACAGTATGTGTTAGAATAGAGCCTTCTAGCTCCTTATTGATAAATGTATTATCCTTATATCATAATAAATGTGCTAGTCTTTAGGATGCCAAGGGTTCTTTGGCACATGTTACAGTTCGCATGGCTATGTTGAATGAGAAGTAGTCCATTACATCTGGAAAGACCAAGGTTTGGAAACAATAAAATAATGCCTGATTTATACTTTTTTTTAGTGAGTGTACACTTTCCCATATTCAAGAACGGTATCTCAAATCATCTAATATGACAACTGTCTGTAAGAAGAGGCAGAGAATTCTTAATTTATGAGATGCAAGAATAGTCAAATAAAACCTCTTTAGCTACTCCAAATTTGTATATTAATTTATAGGAAGTGGAATTTAAATCCTAATTACATTTCATAAAGCAGCTCTGATCAAGGGTATTTTATGATACCAGCAGATTTTAAACGAAGTAGGAAATCTCTTGTCTTAATAAAGTTATACCTGCCTTTCTGTGCTTCATGGTTTATTCTCCAGGCTGCAGCACTAAATGTTTCACTATTTAAATCTCATTGAATTTAGTTGGCTTACCCATCTCTCTACTTCGCTTCTTGCCTTTGGATGAAACATAAGACTGCCTTCCATTGTTCATTTGATGGAAGGTGAGACCTCAGACCTCTAGGCATTGTAAATCTGGCAGCATCAGAGGTTTACACAATGCTATATTAGGGCAACAGTCAGTAATTTTGTAGACTTAATATGTAATTTAGTTATTTAAAAAATAAAAAGCCAAGACGGGAACCTGGTTGTCATATTAATTTTTTTTTAAAAAAAAAACTGTAAAGTCTTGTGGTTTGAGGCTGAAACTGAGCCTTACAGCTCCTTGGATCTACCAAAAACATTTTGCTGGCACAGGTGGGCCTCAGTAGAGGTCTATGGGCCTTAGTGGAATTTTTGCAGGGAAAAAACCTTACAATCAATATCTAGGATCAAAATGTCTACTGTATATTGATAAGAGGGGGAGCTAATTGCAGAAAAGATCATTAAATTCAATTGCAAACTGGAAAAACTAAAATTAAACAAGTTCTCGTTTTTAAATAACTTTGTTTTTTCAAATCATTTGTAATTGAGCAGAAATAAATTAAAGCCAGTTGTGCCAAAGTTAGCATTAGCATTAAGGCAGTCCTAGGACTGATGCTTTCTTGTTTGTTTGTTTTCTAAAGGACAGTTACCTTAAAACTAAAACTATTTCTGAAATGTGTGTGATGCATAAATATGTGCCTACAATAATTTCAAGTCCTTAGACATTGTCGAGTCTAAGTCTCTGCAAGTATTTTTTTGCTTAGCATGCTACATTTAAAATACTTTCATCTGCATAGAAACCAGTGTGATTCCACTGGTATCAGAAAGAGTTCTCCTTTACCATTTTCTTATTGGCTTCAGCTTCTGTGTTTCTATGGCTCACTGGTGGTCTTTATAAACTTTCAACAAGGTGGAAAATTAAAATCTCACCTGAGCTGTGCCACTGTCATCTATATTCTGCTGCACCTTGGACTAGAGAGAGCTAAACCCAAAATGTATCAAAGAGTCTTTGATATTGCACGGGTGCTATAAGCTAACTTTCAGTGGTGGATTTCAATACTCAACTACTTACTCGGTCTTGCTTGCTCAGCACACTGTAGAGCCTTTCTTTGGGCTTTCAACACTTTACTCTCTGCAGTACTAGGTGGAAAGCACAGGACCCCCACATTCTCTGTGTCAAACTCAGTGTCCTGGTTCTAACTCAGTGCCTTTCACCACTGCACCAAATTAGATCTCAGAGTTACGGTATTAGGAAGGATTTATTTTCTTTATTCTATTCAATTTTATCTTGTTTTTATTTTGTTTATCTTGTATTTTATTCATTTTTTTTCCTATGAAGACCTCATGAAAATATGTCCGAGGAAAATATAAAGGATGCTATGTAATGTTTCAGATTATACTGAAATTGAATTTACCATAATACATTGTACTATTTATAATACATACAATGAATCTACAATAATATTATTGACATCATACCCATCAACAAAATAGTAATGTCTCTTGGTGTCAGCGCTGAGACCAAGATGACTGGCAGTTGATAATAGACACTTGGAATGAGATGAGTTCTTGACCTTCCCTGCAGTGCAAGTGTGCAAGTGTGTATAGGTGTGTATGTCTGTTCCATACCCTTTTCTAGGTGGGTCTATGACAACTTGTTGCAGCCAACTTGCTGCAGCCAATATGCCACAGGTCAACTTGCCACAGAATATGAGTTACACTAATTCGAAGAAATTGTGAAATAGAATCATTAAAAAAAGGAGGGACAAAATGAAATATGAATGACAAAACATTAAAATAATTTTTAATTATTTTAAATAATTTAATTGAATTGTTGAATTGTCCCCCAGTGAATTGTCCCTTGGCAAGTTGGTCATGCTGAGTTGGCTATGGTGAATTGGCCATGACAATTGTGGACCCTTGTTCAGATGGTATCACTTTTTGATTACACAAATTATATCATTCAGCTGACTTTATTATATTCAGCATTTCTCCACCCCCTCTCTAGTATATTAATTGCCTTGAACGTGTTCAGTGTATATGTATAAAATGTGAGGTGTAACAGTATCAAACATAGATGTGATGGTTTGCTTGTTTACTCTTTTTTGGTAGTGCTTTTCTCTGTCTAATATAAGGAATGTGGCAGTTTACAAGACTCCGTTTTCAATAATCAGTGAATATCCTGTATTTGATAGTCCTTTTGTTCCCCACCACATACTTTTCTGAGGACTTTCGGAATGACAAACCTCAATTTTTCCAGTGTTGGTTCTATCAGTGTCATTAGAAAGGCAACCATGGGCGAAACTGGGCAAGTATGAAATGGTAAGAATGCTTGAGGCAGGCAGGAAGATTCTCTAATAGCATGACTACTATTTTTCATTTGAAAACAAGTTCCTCTGAATTTGCTGCAGCTGGAAATTGTTGATAGTTTTCAACCTAATATTTTCACCTTATTCTTTTCTTTTCAACTGAAATGAATAACTGCAACATAACAGCCCGATGAATGTGGGAGTGCATTTTTTTGTCCTCCTTTAACATGATAAGGCAGAACTTGGTGCATTTTCTTCAAGCCTGAATAATCTGCATATCCTGTGTTGCATTATCAGTCCTTTAAAAGATAGTCCACTGCTCTAGAGTAACTTGACATGATATTACTCTTATTCCACAATTGAAAAATCTCTCCACAGAACTCAATGCATCAAGCTGAGAAGCTCTATGTTGTTTCTCACACACTAATTTGGACTTGCAAAATTTTGTTGGATAACACATGTGTCCCACAAAGAATGTGTTTGTGCAAGCATACAGATTCACACTTGTTCATGGTACTTTTCAACAAAACTGTTTTGTTCCCAGACCTGTCCTGATCTACTTCAGGATTTAGAACTCTTGTGAGTACATATACAATATATAGCCAGTCTCCTAGGTGTTCCCTTGGCATCAGTACTGTGCATTATAGAGGAGCTCCAGTTCCACATAATGGTTTTATTCCCATAGTCACAATCTTTTAAAGCATAGTTCTGCAGACATTGTTGAATTATCACTGCCGAACAATAATTGCCAGAATGGTAATGTTGAGAGATGCTGAAGACTATAATTCAGCAACATGTAGCGGAACACCCATTCTCCAACTCTAAAAGGTATTCGTTTGAAAAGTTCCTTTAAAGCCATCCCGTGCAAAGCTTCTAAAAGATTTGATACAAGTGCTCAGTATCCAATAAAGCAGGAATGCTTCTTTATTTTGTTGCCATAGGTAAATGTCTAGCAAATAAATTGATGAACAAATGTATACGAAATAAATTGACATGCTAATTTTGGCAGGATGCTGGAGGTAAGCACTTTACATGTGAAGACCATGTGACCCAAAAATTCATCTTGAGGGATGCTGGCAAGCAGTTCACACAACAAGAGCTCTATTCAGCCAGTTAATTACTAAGCATGGCAATTACTAAAGTAAATCTTACATTTGGCAAACCTGTTCTAATTCATTTTCATTTCAGCTATCTCACTAATAAAGACATAGTCAGACTGGAATAATTGTTCCCTGCCATACCTCTGTTGAAGTGTTGGTGTTTGCATATTCATCTCCAAAGCTGCTTGTTATCTACTAAGCAAGTTGTTGTATTGTTACTGATGATAAGTAATTTAGGGGTGAAGAGAGGAATTTTAGGATGCTTCTGACTTGGGTTCTTCTCTCCCCGCATGCCCAATTTGCAGAGCTTCATGGCTAGCATTTCTAAATCCTCTCTCTTCTGACTTCTGTTTTTCAGTCTAACAAGGTTCCCGTAGTACAGCCATCTCATGGGGTCCATCCACTCACCCCACTCATCCCATATAGCAATGAACATTTCAGCCATGGCTCCCATTCACCACACCTGCCAGCCGACATCAACCAGAAACAAGGTAACTAATTCTTCACCTCTCCTGTGATGCTACTCTTGGGGGGGGGGAAAGATGTGCTTTAAAAAGTGTGTGCTGTGGGGAATTTAACCATAGCCATGACGTCTGGATGTCTGCCACAGACTTTCAATTTCCAACCTTTCATAGTGGACTCTGCCCATTTTTACATACCACCTTCATGTGTCTTGGAGGTCGAACTGCATGCTCTTTAGCAACAAACATATTCACTCTGGGCAGAGAAATGGAATAAGTAAGAAATCTTGGGGTTTTTTTGAAGGCCATTTTTTTTCTTTTTAGAGTTCCTCTGATCAGATACTAACAATAGTACTTAGACTTATATGCCACTTCATAGTGCTTTTACAGCCCTCTCTAAGTGGTTTATAGAGTCAGCATATTGCCCCCCCAACAATCTGGGTCCTCATTTTACTAATGTTGGAAGGATGGAAGGCTGAGTCAACCTTGAGCCGGTAAGGATTGAACTCATGGAATGAGCAGTGAGTTAGCTTGCAATACTGCATTCTAACCACTGTGCCACCATGGGTCTTATACTAAACTTCTGAGACACATAAAACAAAGTACCGTATTTTTCAGAGTATAAGACACACTGGAGTATAAGACGCACCAAGGTTTTGAAGAGGTGCTTTTTTTTAAAGGGGGTTTTACACTCTGCAAACCTCCCCCAAACAGCTTGTTTTTCACAAAAACGGGCCCTTGTTTTCCAAAAAAAAGAGAGGCATGAATAGCCTTTAGGAGGCTTATACAGAACTCCTGGGGACTGGGGGGTAGGCAAAATTGAGCAAAAAATGGCTCATTTTCATTCATTTCTGCCCTCCCCAGCCCCCAGGAGCTCTCTGAAAGCCTTCTACAGGCTCTGCACAGCCATTTTGGTGAAGGGAGTGTGGTTTCGGGGGGTTAAAAAATGCTGTATTCAGAGTATAAGACGCACCCAGATTTTCAGCCTCTTTTTTGAGGAAAAAGGGTGCGTCTTATACTCTGAAAAATACAGTATCTTAACCAAACAAGCACTGTGTTTTAATACTTAAGAATGGAGAAGCAGATTGCAGATCATTATCTATGACACTACAATTTAGGGAATTAAATACCCCTATTGCTTCAATCCCATTTTTAATAGAAAAAATGTCACTATGTTCTAGTTTTAAGATCTCTATTAATAACAGCCAGTTAATAGAAGTTGAAATATTCCACTAACATAGATCTTGGTTGATACCATATTAAGTCATTTTCAAGAGTTTATCTGACTGCTTTTGGCTCCCTGTGCCTCTAGAAATAGCTCAACCTACACTTATTGCATTGTCACAAACCCTGAAGGTGTACAGAACATTTGTTGTTGGGACCTTTCTAACATAAATAGATAGTCCTCGACTTAAAACCACAATTGAGCCCAACAGTTCTGTTGCTAAGCGAGATATTTGTGAAGTGAGCTTTGCCCCATTTTACAACCTTTCTTGCAACAGTTGTTAAATGAATTGCTGCTGTTGTTAAGTTAGTAAGATGGGTTGTTTAAAAAAACTGGCCTCCCCATTGACGTTGCTTGTCAGAGGGTCACAAAAGGTGGTCACATGACCCCAAGACACTGCAGCCATTATAAGTATGAGTCAGTTGCCAAGTGTCTGAATTTTGATCATATAACCATGGAGATAAGTGTGAAAAAATGGTCTAAGTCACTTTTTTCAGTCAGTACCATTGTAATTTTAAATGGTCACTAAATGGACTGTTGTAACTACCTGTATTTCCATTGATTGGACTTTTCACTACTTTCCATTTCCTGATTGAACTCTAAGCGTACCTTCACACTAGCTTGTATAGGGTATATTGGAAAAAGAAACAGTACATTTGGGCTGAACTGTTTAGATCAGAAAATGATCTAAGGATCTTCAGGAGTATTATCATCATCATTATCATCAAAATAATGAAAACATTCAATATCTTCCTCACAAGTCTCATTTAGAAAATGACAATTGCTTCTCTGAATTACTAGATTTAAGCTGCAAATTGTAAATTTGATGGCACCATAGCTTTATCTGTTTGGGATTTAATTTTTTTTTAACTATCGCACAACATTTCAGTATGATTGGGTGAATTATTCAAATATAGTGAAGGCTAAAAGCAACTTAATTCAGTAGTAGTTCCATGGAGCTTCTTCAAAGCTTGTTGTAATATATGAGACTTACTAGACCCTAACCTTAACCCTAACCCTAACTCTGCTCCTTGTGTTGTGACATCTTCCTCTGGTGGATTAATTACTATTGAGGAATAAGTCTTTAAAATTTCATTATAAATTAATTTTCTGATTTTAATAATACTTCATTGTGTGGTATTGGTATTGAGTGATGGCATTAATCCATAAATTAAAGCATATAATCATGATATTTCTGCACTAAGAGTATCAAACTAAATGAGACAATGGTACAAAAATATCAAAATTGAAATATGAAATTAACAACTGAGATGTTTGATTACTCTGTTTCTTGTAACAAGCTTTGCTGTCACAAGACAAAGCAAAAGTTGAATAACTGACTGATAAAAATGAGGATTAATATTTTTGCATATATGTTTTTGCATATACTTTTGGGACTGCTTTTTTAAACTCCATGAATGATTTTTTTATTAAATGGATTAAGGAATGCATTATTTACATATAGGTTAGAAAGCTATAGATGCACCCAAGAATAAATGCATGACCCTCTGTAAAAGTCTTTGTTTCAGATCAAATGGCGGTGAGTGCTAGAATATGAATGAAAATCCTTTTTCATTTATAATTCATCATTTATCCAAAAATCAGGTTCACAGGCCAAGGCAGTTTTACTTGTAGTTTAGTTTTATCACCTACTTACCGATTAGTCTTAACACTGAATTACTTACATATCTACTCACAGAACTAACACAAAGACAGAGGATACCTGGCACAGTCTGCACAGATTTGTTCTAACTTGGCGTGCTCACAAAGGATTATATAGTAAATCCCTCTTCCTGTTATGATTATCTTTTCATATAGAAGGAAACAATAACTCCGATCCTGTCAGAGAAGGTATTTTCCAACCCAGCAGAATTAAAGCATATGAGAAAAGTGATCCCCTTCTTTCATTCATTCTTTCTTTCTTTTCTTTTCTTTTCTTTCTTTTGCATAGTGTCTTTCTCCCAACCTGATTGCCTACTAGAGTTTATACATTGCCCTTTGGGTCTTCTATGTGCATCTTATCTCGTATACTTTAGATGCAGTCCATACCCACAATGCAATATTATGTTTTAGAGGCGAGGCGAGGCGAGGCTAGAGTAGAATAGAGTAGAGTAGAGTAGAATAGAATAGAATAGAATAGAATAGAATAGAATAGAATAGAACAAAATATTATTTAGTGGCTAAGTGTGTTGGACACAGGAGGAATTTGTTTCCAGTACATAAGAAAAGTCTAGCATTAGCATAGAATTTCATAGAACAGCATTGTCTTATTTTTTTTTCCTTCTCATTCTGCCCTACTTTGGCTTCACTTCACCAACAGGCACATGTTGCAGAGAACCTACTGTTGACCTGCATTCAGCGTCCTAGACATTTACATTCAATCTCATTGCAACATTTCTGAATGAACACACCTTGTGAGATATAAAAATGCTCCACCCATAGTATTTCTCAATATGTGTTCTGCTTCAGATGACTGGTCATCCGAAGCAGAACACATACAGTATCATGCTAAAACACTTCATATGTTCTCTGCATATCACCATAGCCCAATGAAATATGCCTTCTCAGTACTGCATCTCTATACAGCAAATATTAAGCTAAGAAGTAGGAATACTTTTTAATTTAATTAATGGATAAATGAGTTAAAGCATGAATATAGACAAATAGGTGGAATTTAAAAACTCTGAGTCAAGCTTAATTTGTTGAGTAGTGGCGCCGAGTAAAGCTCATCATCTTTTCCCACAAGAATCCAAGCAGGTTTCTTGCAAGCTTTCTTTATTTCAGCAATATAATTTAGGGCAAAAAGGAAGTTAGTTTCATATTGTTATCCTTCAGAATGCAGGTTTCTCCCTATCTACCACCAACTTTAGATCTTCTCTCCAACTATGCATAACACCTTTGTCTTCTCTAGATAAATTGAAGGTTCTACTCATTTCCCACACTGCTCCCTTTCGTAGTTCTACCTTGACTATGTTCTATTCATTCTCCCTTACACTTACTCTGGATATCCCAAAGGTGCCTTTTTCCAAAATGCAACTGGACTTTCTTGGAGTTTTTTTTTTCTTTGAAAACTTTTCACTTCTCATCCAAGAAATTCTTCAGAACTGAAGTCCAATAGCCTTTTGGAAAAAACCTTTGGGACAACCATGACTTCAATAATTGTGAATTTCCATAGACTTTTGCTCTGGATACTTTTGCCTCACTCACTTCCTCTATGCCTCATACCATCTAGACTACTTGCCTGCATGCTTTGAAAAGAACATTGCAGATAAAAAAGGCTAAGAATATTTATCTTAGTAATAAATAGTAGGAAGAACAAGGTGAGGGTAAGTACCGGTAGATGAATTACCATAACTGGCTGTTGGATGTTAGCAAACATAAATCTTTTGAATCCATTTTGATATAAAGCTGGAAAAAAAGCTAACCTAAATTTCCTCATGTTTTCATTTTCTGATAGGTGTACACCGTCCTTCTCAAACATCAGATATTTCTGGTTTTTATTCCCTCCCTCCCAGTGGGGTTGGACAGATAACACCTTCTGTGGGATGGTAAGTATTTAAGGCCTTCAGCTGAAGAATTTTACAAAAAAAAAGTAACATTGGACATGTATGAATACCCATCACCCTTCACAATAGTTGAATTTTAGCATGCTTCCTAGATTCTATGTTTATATCTGAGTTCATATTGAGTGAGATATTGGTTCTCTCTCTTGCTCTCCTACTTTTTTTGATCAGCACAGAGAATTGGAATGCCTTCATTAACTGAGCCCTCTGCTGCCATTTGGAAATAATAATCAAGTTGTAGAATTTAGATTGTTAACTGAAGCAGGATAAACAATGTTTTACTGAGCAAGAGGTGCATATGGCTACTGAGTGACCTGACAGGAGCTGACAAGTTCCAAAAAATAGTAGTTGGAGCCAGGAAAAAAAACATGAAGCAATTTCATTTCATTTCATTTCATTTGCATTTAAACCTAAATTTAAATAAAGAATCATGTTTCCCTTTGTACATTAAACTTTATAATCTGGTAATAACTTTTAGAATTCTTTGGAGTACAAATATGACCCATGATTTCTAGTTATGCATCTCTGCAATTTAAAAAAAAACCCTGTGTAGCTGTTCCGTCATTCCTTTTTTAATTGGTTTTTCAAGGTAATAAAAAGATAGAAATGGTAAGAAACCTGAGAAGCTTTTGTTGTGATAACGAAAATTCTTTGTTGATCGTAGAAAAATAAATTCTTTGCAAGCATTCTTTGTAATAATAATTCTGGATAGGCAGAAATGAAGGAAGGAAGGAAGGAAGGAAGGAAGGAAGGAAGGAAGGAAGGAAGGAAGGTTCAGTCAGTATGTGCATTCATTTAATTTCTGATGGACTTTTCCCCACTCTGTTTAATCCATATCATCAGTTTAGTTTGTGGTGGGTGGATGTGGTTTGGCAGATGTATTTGATGTGGTGAAATAGCCTTATGAAATGTGGTCAAGTTATGCCTGAGAAAATGCTTACTCTCTTGCTTTTCTGAAATGGCACAGTAGACCGTCATTCTGTTTTCTCAAGATTCATCAATATTGTTGGGAAAACAACATTTGGTAGTCACCATTACTCCTCACCACAAACACCCTGGATGAATCAGCTTTTAATGTTAAGATATTAATATTCAGTAATGCAAACCTTGAATAATGTCTAGTTATGAAGATAAATACCCAAGAGTGGAGATTAGAGCTACCTTAAGAAGAATAAGTGGCATGAAAAGTACACCACAACTGTTTACACTGGAGTCATTGATTGAAAGCCCATTGAAATCAGCAGGGTTCTAAACCAACGTGTTGACTGACTTGAGTTTTTAAGGGTGTGTGTCAGTGCAATTCACTGGATCTTAAACTGCACAGTTTATGAGTCATCAAGCCATTCCATAGTCTACAAGCTACGTGTTGTTGTCTGCCAGGAATTTCATAGCCCTGCTAGTTTTTCTAATCTGAGAGAGGCAAAAAATACATGATATTTATGAAGCACATAAAGTGTTGTCATATAGTATAATGTCAATTGAATTATATAATTGTATCTTGTAAGCTATACATTTTTCTAACTTAGTCTGAATCACGCATAAGATCAGAAGGCAGTAATTTTTCTGATTAACTGATTGGAGCATGCAAATTGGGATGCTCCTCTGGCATGGAAAGGTTAAGTGCAATTTTTTAAAAGTGGAATGCAGTCATAAACTGCCCTGCAAGTTAATATATTTCCTTACCAAATAATGTAGTTATATTCACAAAAGAAGAAATGCTTAATCCTTCAATTTAAGTCAAGGTTGATTATTTAGATTTGCTCTCTCTCTCTTTTCCTTAAAATATTGTATTTGTCCTAAAGTGGTTACATTGCAGGTGATGATTAACAATTCAGACAATAGGAGAGAAAAACATTTTAGAGTGGATAAGAGAAATACTCCCTAGAAATATTGGCAAGTGGCAAATACAAACATTCTTTAAATAGGTTGAATGAATCAAGAAAATGTATATTTTTTTTCTCAAACAACTTTCCCTCTAAGTAGTTTCGACTTCAGCTCCCCTTAGTCCTGCATTTCATAGCTGATATATTTCTGGATAAAAAACATGATCATTGTGGCCCAGTCCATTTCAATAGATAGTCAGCGGAGAGAATATCCCTATTTTTAATGCTGTGGATGAAAACCTCAAACAGTTGCATCTTTGGACACTTCCCAAGAGGAGCCTGGGCCCGTTTGGGAATGGCTCCGGAACTCTGTGTTCCCATGACATCAACAGTGCCTGAGAGCTGTCCTGATTTATTTCTGGCTGAGTGTGGTGTAATTAAAATTGCTGCTATTATTTCATTTTTGCTTTATGAAGCAGTGGCTCCATTGCCCACTGGTGGAAGATCTTACTCATTCTTGCTCCTGGCTTCTGAGCTTGAGTCTAGCTTGGCAATTTCCCCTCAGAAATCCACACAAAAGGAGGAAGAGTGGAATTGACAAGACCTTTGTCAATTTCTCTTTCCTCTTCTGTTATCAAAGGAGTGAATGTGCAAATGTCAGACAAGCTGCTTCTCTCCATCTTTTGTCTTTATAAGGGGTTTGAGTGAAGGAATCTCTCTTGCTGATGGACCAGGAGCAACTTAAAGCAGGGAAGGACAGTGCAGGGATTAATCCATCTCCTCCTAAGCCTTTCAAGGGAAGAAAACAGGAGTTGATGGCTTTCTAAGCATTTAGGGAGAAAAGAAACAGTGACACCGTGGAGGTGTTTGAGAACCCATATTGATTTTAGCAAAATTAAAATGAGAGTTCATAGCATACATGTATAAAATTGTCATTTCTGAGGTTGGCTATAAATCTGTGTGGAAAAAAGGGGCTAATAATACGTATGGCATTAAGTATATTTCTCCTAAAATAATAGGTTAGGTTCTGCCTCATGGCACCTAGTCTTGTAGTTTAATCTTTTGGTTCTATCAGAGTCGATGCTCTCTTCTCTAAGTCTCATTTAAGCTTGAAGATAAACTATTGGTCGTGTTAGCTGGGGAATTCTAGAGGAAATCCATATTGACGAAGGCTGAACTGGACAAGAAAGGGCACGCGCACACACACACACAACACACCACCTCCAGATGAAGTCCTTATCCTGACTGGATCCTTCTCTGATCATTTTTAATCTGCTTTTTTTAAAAAAAACCAACGGTGTGATATGGCTTTAAACTGACATATTTGCCAGTACAAAAATTGTTTGCCTTGAATGGCAGCACATTATAATATGTGAGAAACTGTAACTAAACATATCACCTGGATGTGCCTAATTTGTGGCAGGTTTCATCCAATGGACTGGACTCAAACCACTTAAGTAGCTTGCCAGGAAACCAAGAGCTTGGATAACCAAAGTATCATTGAAGAAGGTTAGGAAGCCACAACTAAAGAACCATAGCAACAGTTGGGATTCAAGAATAAGTCCATAAGCTGAAAGGAGTGTTCAGATCTCTTGTGTTTCTTTCTTTCCTGCCTCATGCAACAGATTGCCTGGCTCTCTCTTTCGGGCAGGTTGGCTTGTTTCCCTCTCTTCTTGATTGTTGCAATGGTCAGATTTGCTATCATATTGTTTCTCATTGACTGTGAGAGAATTAATTCTCCCAATTTGACCACTCCTCGGAAATAATTCTATGGAGTGTTCTACTTGCACTATGCGCAGGCTCAATGTTGCATTAAACAATAACTGTGCTGGCTGCCAATGCACCACCCGTCTTCACTTGGTATTTTCCATTCCCAACCTGAAAAATACACACAAAGGGGAGGGGAACCACTTTTATTTGGCTGTTATTTCATTGGGCTGATTTTATTTATGCCCAATTTCATTTTCTCATAAACCCATATATATATTGTGCTGTATGACAATTAGCATCCACAGGCCTTAACTTTCTCAGCGCACCTATATGGTTCAGAAGCCATTCATTCATAATTGCACAATGCTATTTACATGTGTTTCATGTATTTCCTAACCTTGCCCTTGCAAAAGTGGCTCATGTGCATCCATCACTTTGTTGATAAAGCCTTTTATCCCAGAGAACTTCACACTGTTGCCTATATGGACAAATATGACCAATGTTCTTAGTCCCTTTTATTAAAAAATAAGGGGCTTGCACCTAAGCAAAAAAAAACTTACATAGAATTTCCTTCCCTGTGTCTTCCCTTGATGTATCATCCTTTCCAGAGCTTGGCAGTGTTCATTGCATTCAAACTGGTTTGGGGAGAGGAGATGGAGAAAGTGGGGGACTCCAGAATCTCTCTTTGCTAATAAGGAGTGCTGTGATAGGCAATGGCTCTGAAGAAAACAGGTTCACTTTTTCTGGAAGAAAACTGACTTCAAACACACACTATGGTCGAGTGGTGGGTTTCAAAAAAATTTCGAACCTACTCTGTGGGTATGGCCTCCTTTGTGGGAGTGGCTTGCCGGCCATGTGTTCTCTCTCGGGGGGCTTTGTCGCCATGTGTTTTCTCTCTCTCTCTCTCTCTCTCTCTCTCTCTCTCTCTCTCTCTCTCTCTCCTTTTGTCTCTGTCCCTTTTTCCTTTTTTTCTTTCATCTCTCTCACTTTTTTTCTTTTTTCTTTTTCTTTCTTCTTTCTCTTGCTCTTTCTCTCTGTGTGTGAGTCTGTCTGTCTGTGAGTCTGTCTGTCTGTCTGTCTGTCTGTGTGGTGGGTTTCAAAATTTTTTGGAACCTCTTCTGTAGGTGTGTCCTGCTTTCTGGTGGAACCTCTTCTAACCGGTTCAGTAGATTTGACGAACCGGTTCTACCGAACTGGTGCGAACTGGTAGGAACCCACCACTGCTATGGTCGTACTATAGCAACAGCTTTTCATGAGAAGGAAAAAGTTCAGCTGGAATGTCTGTGGAGATTTTCAGTCATCCAGGTCATAGTTGCCTCAAAGGTGCCTCAAGGAAAAAAATAGCCCAGTTGCCTTTTGAAAAAGCACCTTTGAGACATTCAGCAGAAATAGCCTCACAACCCATCAAATGTTCTGGAAAAGAAGAAGCCTCCCAGTAGTTAAATGGAGAGA